TAGAAAATTGGGGCCATGGGCACTGTAATCTGCACTTAATCTAAAGAGTATTCATTTTGGTTTCAGTTCTTTGAGACAGTATTTCTGACACAAGGCATCAACAAAGTCTGCTGAGCCTTTTCCTGCAGCACGTTCCAGTTAAAATCTGCAGGCAGCAGTCATTAGGGTCAGTCTCCCTCTCACTCTGACGTGCCCATGACTGGGTTAGCACTTTATTTAACAGAAGACTGAAAAACTTCAGTTTTTTCAGTGATTTTACAGAAGATGCTTTCTACTGCACACAAGAGTCCAAGGTTAAGAGGAATTTAAGCTTCCTGAGAGCAATTTTTTTTTTGTTTTGCTAGTACAGAGTATTAACACAGCAGGGGCCTGACCCTGACTTCAACTTCTAGACATCCCAGTGTTACTAGCAAGGCTTGAGGATACAAAAGCTGAACTGAATCTTTACAGTCAATGATTAATTGTGGAGAAGCACTCATGAATTGAAGTATGGCTGCTGTAACACAGAGGGCTCAGGAGAATGGAGCTGTATATAAACCATAGGTACTTTAAGATTTTGAGGAGAGCACTACTGCACTTACCATGCAGTTAATTTAATTGGACCAAAGGAGAGAACAGAAACTTCCATCCTTAATCTTATTAAAAGAAGGTGGTAGGTGCCAGTATGTTGATTTTATGAAACACAGCTGATTTCTATGCCAAAACAGAATTTTTTTCCTATCTAGGGTCAGATAATTTCTCTCCTGCCATTACAGAACTTGAATTTGTAGTTCTGAGTCTGTGGCCCTCCTTTTTTCTCTTTTTACTAGAAATATAAAGGCATTTCTGTGCAACTTGCCAGTTGCCCAAAAAACCTCCAAGATAGGTTTCTCATCAGCCCTTTCTTTATTGCCAATTTGTTTAGGAAATGGTCGAGGATTTGCATTTGCCTTCTCATATCAGATGTTAATGCTTATTCAGCGCCTGTTTCACAGGCAGATGAGTGACAAATCCATGCCTCTGAGAGCAAGTCCAATTAATTCCAGCTAACCCCTCCCCAATCTCTGAACTCATGAAACCAATGAGAGGCAGTGTTATGAGAGGCAGTGTTGTGAGAGTTGAAGTAGGATGCCCACAGTATCCAAAATTTATTCAAGTTTGTCAAATCAATCAAGGTAAAGCCCACAAGCATTGAGGGGTGTCTTTGATCTACAGAGGACAGGCTGGATCAATGGGTCAAGGCCAGTTGTATGAGGTTCAACAACCTGCTGGTGGAGGGTCTGGAGCACAGGTCTTACGAGGAGCAGCTAAGGGAACTGGGGTTGTTTAGTCTGGGGAGGCTGAGGGTAGACCTCATCACTCTCTACAACTACCTGAAAGGAGGGTGTAGCCAGGTGGGTGTCAGTCTCTTCTCCCAAGTAACAAGCAATAGGAGAAGAGGTAAAAGGCCTCATATTGCACCAGGGGAGGTTTAGATTGGGTATTAGGAAAAATTTCTTCACTGAAAGGGTTATCAAGCATTGGAGCAGGCTACCCAGGGAAGTGGTTGAGTCACCATCCCCAGAGGTATTTAAAAGCCACGTAGGCATGGTGCTTAGGAACATGGTTTAGTGGTGGTCTTGGCAGTGTTAGGTTAACAGTTGGGCTTGATGATCTTAAAGGTCTTTTCCAAACCAAATGATTCTCTAATTGTATGATTCTATAATCAGAACTACTTTCTGTGTGTGGAAAAGTAGAGACTAGGATCTTGATCACCACAGCAGGTTAAAGGTACCTCTGGTTTTCAAAAGCTTTCCTGATGACCTTCTGTGGTGACAATTTTGTTTTTCTCAAGACTGACTCAGCTGACTAATGAAAGCAACTGTGAAGCTCATATTGAGGAATCCTGTGAAGGAAGATTGGAATCAGGAAAATGCTCAAAACACAGCAGGTTTGCTTAGCAAGAACAGTGCCTTTGTTGCTGGCAACAAGTAACAGGCTTAGTATTTCTAGTCCCAGTGCTTATTTGCAGGAATATTTTGTCAGGTTCATTGCTCCATCAGGGACTGGTGCTGGTGGCATGGCTCTGGGCTATTGAAACAGCCTTGGGGAAATTGCTGTGAAACAAGAGGCAACCAATTAGTTTAATTCACATGCTGGTGCCTGCGTTCAGACTGACAACAAGAATCTGAAGCTGCTTGCAGGAAAGAAGTTCTTGAAGCACATCCAGAAAGTATTAACGTGCTGAACGCCAGGTGGTGAGAAGGTCACTGGGACAGAGATAATGAGCAACTGGAAAAAAATTCACATGGGAACTTTTATTTGCTCTAATTCTACTACCATTCCAGCTTTGTTGAGAGAATTTCTTTGCTGTAGAAGCTAATCAGGCTTTTCAAATACCTTTAATCTCCAGAATACAGAAGAATAAGCATTTATCATTTATTTAGCCTGCTTGGTTTTCGCCCCCTCCCCCATAATCTTCCTTCCTCCTTTAAGCCACATTCTCTGCAAAGGTCCCTTTAGTCAGTTAAACAGGCTGAGCTAGTCATGTTAGTAGTGTTCACCTGTAAAAGGCACATGAGAAAGAAATGTAGAAAAATAAGAGATTAACTTGAATATTCAGACTAGACAGGAACTTTTCTGAGTGCCTTGGGCTCAGCTGAGCAGGCAGGTCAACATGGCAAGAGCATGGATGTAATGTAGGAGAGGAGACCACTGGTTTGGACTGTTGTAAAGAACAGTTTTACAGTTCTGCCAAGGCATGAACAAAATTGCTCCCTGCTTTATCTCTAGTCGCATTTTTTAGTGTTGTTGACTGATGAGCTGAGTAGACATACATCAGAGAGAATGGTGGGCCCCAGTGCTGCTGTTTTTAGGGGAGTTCAAAATGGCAGTCCTGCTTTTCCAAGCCAAAGCTTCATTTATACTGACCTCACTAATGGTGCTGATGAAAGGCAAAGACAGTGTTTCTCATACATTTGAAAGCTGATCCCTTATTCAGAGAAGAGAAAACTGATCTCACGCACCCTGTTTCAACACCACATCTTGAGAAAAGCATATTCATCTACCTTTTATGTGACATCTGAGCTTCCCCTTTCTCCATCCACCAGTCAGCCCTTCATACAATGCTATACTTAAGAAAAGTTTAACTGAGCAAGGTCAAATGGAAGTCTGCTGTCTTTATGAAGCACAGAGATGATGGGAAAACATCAGTGTGTGTCAATGGGAAAAGATAAAATAAGTGAAGGATAAAAATAAAGTTTTGATATGTCCAATAGGATGATAAATATGACAGATAAAACTATTAAACTGTACATGACACTGTCCCTTTAACAGAGGGAAGATAAATCTTCAAGGCAGCTGCATATCCTATCTTAGAATGGATTAGCACCATTTCAGTTTATGTAGTGCATCCAAATACTTCAGCTAGAACACTCCACATCCAGGGCTCCCTGTATTTTTTCAAGTGCTTACAATTACTTTATTACCATCTCTACTGACTGCCTTCACCGAAAAGCAGGCAGGCATGGAACAGTTGTTGCCAGTGCATTTGGAAAGATCACCAGAGCCAAGAAATTAAGTGTTCACGGCCTTTGTGAGGGGTCCAAGAATGTCAGTACAGACAGCCTGCCTACTTTCCACTGAATACCTAGGCTTATTATTCAGAACTGGATGTGCCATACAGGCCTGCAAAGAAAGAGGGAAGGGAGCTAGATCAGTCCGTGAAGGGAGATAGCACCTGTTAGTAACGCATCAGTACCTCACAGACCACAATCTTGCATAGACTTGGAGTTGGCTTAAAACTTGTTAGCAGAGGTACTGCTGGTAGTATAGCCACAACAAAAAGGAGGTCAGGGCAAGCTGCAAAGCCTGCCTGGAACACCAGCCGAGTGCCTGGGAGTAGACTTGTGAAGTTCCCTGTATTAATGTTAACTGCTCTGCTTGACGTGATCAAGCCAAAGGCATGTAAGAATGCTTAAACTGTGTTGACACAGGTCAAAGACACTCATTGGCTGTCCTTAGACTCTTCCCAGGTTACATATAGATGCACTCTATGGTAATGTTTGGTACCTAAATCCTTAATGCTCTTTGACGTAAGGACAGGACCACATAGATTGGCACAGCTTTCCCAGTGGCAAAAGTGTGACTCCAGCTGGGGTCACTAGGCACATTATTTTTTAAATAATGTTCTCTTCAAGATCTTTCTACAGAGAGTGGGACTCTGAGGAACCTCGTCCTTTGAGGTTGGGTTTTTTTTTTTTTTGGTGGTGTTTTTGAGGCAGTGGTGCAGGGGAAGCTTTTCACCTATTAAGCTGCTGCCCTGCTGCACTGTACCACCCAGAAAGTTTACAGAAAAAATGAGAAGGTGCAGAACTACATAGCAACGTGAGCATCACGGTTTAAAAACAGTGACATTTTGTCAATCCATATTTTAGGCTGGTTTTTCTCACCAGGTGGTCTACAGAACCCCAACTTTAAGAAATCTGCAGGTGGCAGCTAAAAAAAGGCAGCCCACTGTCTTTACACTAATGGGATCTGCACCTCTACTCCAAAGTCTTTTGAGACCCTGAAAATGTTAAAACGTTTGGAAACAACTGCTCCGGATTATGCCCCTATAGTCTTGTTCAAGTTTTATTTTAAATATCAGCTAGTTAGCTGTAGCAGTACACAGAGCACATTCCCAGGGAAATCAATGTCAAGAGTTAAAGGTACAAGCCCCCAGTCATAGGAAGACCATGTCAGTGCCAAGAGCAGAACTCTGACTTCTCTCCAGGTGAACAGACCATATAAAGAGCTTCTCTCTGACCCAGTATTACTGGAAAAATTCTCACTAGCAGTGTTGCTGATGCATAAGCCTCTCATGTCTCCAAACTGGGACAAAGGAATCCTGTGCTGCATTATTTCCTGGGTTATTTTTATTTCCTGCACACTTCTTCATATTCAGTTCTTGCTTCTCTCCACCTAGAGCATTCTTGAAATTTCAGAAAAATTCTAGTTTGTTTGTTCATTTGTTTTTCTTGCCTTTCTTTCTCCACAGAATCTTATGGCAAGAGCCCTGTACGATAACGTCCCCGAATGTGCAGAAGAGTTGGCCTTCCGCAAAGGAGACATTTTGACAGTGATTGAACAGAACACTGAAGGTCTTGAAGGATGGTGGCTCTGCTCCTTACATGGCCGGCAAGGCATTGTTCCAGGCAACCGCGTGAAACTCCTGATAGGTCCAGTGGTACAGGATATGTCCAACGCAGGATTGATGCATCAATCCTTCAACCAGCAAAAGATCTATCAAGTGCCAAGCTCACATGCCTCAGCACGGGACCCTGTCTACCAAGTGCCACCTTCCCAGCTGAATCAGGGAATTTACCAAATACCCACTGGTCACGGTGTAGTGGGACATGATGTTTACCAGGTGCCACCCTCCATGCAGAGATGTATTGACAGTCCAGCTTTGACTAACAAGGTGCGTGCATTTGCTTTCATGTCATAGCTCCAAAGCAGGTCACTTCTGCTGACCACCAATGAAAATATTCATGTCTAGTGATAGCCTGTGGACTATGTATATATATATATATTTATCCTTCCTATATCTTAACTATATAAAATTAGAGCAGTAACTTTACTGCTGTGGGAGGAAAAGAAAGGCCTGGTTAACAGCTTGCTTAATTCACAACTGAGATACACAGTAGAGCATTTTGGAGCTGTGCTGCCGCAGCTGCTAAAGGTGAGGGGAAGTATATGATCTTGTGTCCTCACAGGCTCCCTAGGGAGGCTGAAGCATATCTGGCCTACAGCACTCTTGCATTATATGCTCAAAAGAGAGCTGCTGTGGTAAGATTAACTCTCCCACAAATTAATGAACAGTTACATCATCTGCCCAAGTAATTTTTGTTTAATTAAAAATGATGTACTGCCTTGCTGCAGAAGTCCCAACGGGTCCAAACTACAAAGAGAAAGCAGTGATTGACGAGACAAGGGCCATACTTGGAAGAGTCAGGAAGGAAGAGGATGATAATGAAGGATGTTTTAATACCAAATCTGAAGTTTATAAGAGTGCGCTTGATGTTTATCTACAGCTAAATTTCTTGATTGAAAGTAGGAACTGCAACAGCTCCATGGTACAGCCATTGTTGCAGCAGCCAAGACCTCCCAAAGGACCAGTGAGAGGTGTTGCTTTATGTAGGTCCCCACTTATTGCTGCTGTCCCTCTCAGGCTCTAATCTCCTGTCACCCCCTCATTTTACCTTCACGGGGTACCTGCCAGCTACCCTGGTGGCACATGGTCCCTTGGTGGCTGAAAAGGATTAGGGAAGATACAACAAGGCAGGAAAGGGATAGATTCTCCTGCCCTTCCAGATCCCTTATTGCAGAGCCAAAAAGAAGTTCCTACAGTCCCTCCATTCCCAGCTCAGCAGCTCCAGCTATGCATCTTCCTTTCCTTTAGAGCTTAAAGCATAGTATTTATATCCAAGTTATGTGAGCAGATGATGTCTCTGTCAGGAAGTTCCTGACTGGTTTTAACTTTCATCTATTAATTTAGATTGGCAAGACAGTGTGTTCTGGGTTTTTCCCCCACCTCACCTCAAACTCAGCTTTTCTCATATCAGGCCTTTGGAAGACATGTTCTAATGCTTTTATTTCCCTGTTATTTAATTTTCCTTGATAAGAATAAATGGATTTTTTTTTTGTTTCTGAGAAGGAAAATATCTGTGAAATCATTCCAAGTCAAGTTATAAAGAGGTTTGTTTGCTCAGCTTTTCCACAATTATGCTTTGTATGGTGTGCAGGAAGATTAAATGAGAAAATTGCACTTACTTCACAGGTAGAGATAGGATCTTTGTCGGAGCAATTATATAGGTTTTCTTGAGAAATCTCACATTTTCTCTCCTTTTCTCCTTTCTTTATAGATCAGATACAGTGAGATATTTTTCAGGGGAAATACAGTTTACCTATCCACAGTAGCCTTTAGATACCCACCAAGGTACTTAGTGAACACCTGGTAAATAGCCTATTGACATGACAGCCCAGAAGAGATCACATTTTAGTGTATGTCAGCACGAAACATTACAGTGCCATGCAGAGATGCCTCAGCAAGCCGACTTGGGTCGCAGGAGATGTGACATACTGGAGAGCTGCACTGAAGTCTGTTGGGAAGCCCAAGATATTACGTTGGAATAAGTGCTATGTACTTTACTTTTAGGACTTTACCTGCCTCAATGATCATTAGCATCGTTTAGCTAGCATAATGCAAGAGTGTGTGTACTCTGTTCCTTTCAGGCTTACACTGTACAGATTCTCCAACAATTCTCCAAATTCTCTCTTCCCCTGCCCCCTCTGCCC